GCCTGCTTCAGATCCTGTGTCTCCCTTTCTCTCTATGCCCCTTCCCCGCTCATGCTCTGTCTCTCAAAAATGAATAAATGTTAATAAAATTAAATTTATAATTCATAATAAATCTTCAATAAAATTAAAAAATAAATAAAGTAATAAGCAGTTATTGTTAGTTTCTCAAACACAAAGAAATATTCTTTAAATATTTAGATACATGAGAATCTTTATTCTCATGTGTATATGATATGATACAAACACACTTTTTGTCTCAAATCCTGACAGTATAAGAGGCAGCAGCAGTATAGTTCAAAGACCACTGAATCATAAGACATGAGTTCTAGTCTTGTTTAGACCACAAAGGAGTTATGTGCCTCTTCTCTTAACATCTAAGGGCTTCTGTTCTTCTGAAGAATAAAAGTTGCACTAGATGACTTCTAAGAACTTTTTCAGCTACAAAATTTTATGATTTTATGAAAATTTTAAAACTACCATAAATATCACATTAGAAAAATGCATAACCCTCATTGAGAATGTCATTTAGAGAAATGAAGTGCGCAAAAATTTCCTCTACAGTGTTTAGTGTCATGTATTCACTGAATTCACCTGAAATCTGGATATGCTGTAAAGGAGGCTCTTCAATTTTCTGACCGTTATTTTAAAATTTAGAATGCTGCTAAGCCTGGAACCTTCACTTTCAATGAAAGCTGGCTCAGAACTTCTTACTTTTTTCCCAAACCACTCCAAGTACCAATTCTGGACTATTAATCGCAATAACAGGTATACAAGAAAGTAGTTATTAATATCACAGATTCTCCAATACCTCACAGAAGATATTATTCCATCAGTCAGCTTTTAACTTGCACTTCATCTTTTTCATTTTTCTATGTATTTAACAAACTTTTTTATATTCTATTCATAAAACAATATCCAGAACATTTTTTATTTAACAGCACCGCTTTTATAAACCAGAACAGATCATCTTTCTCCCAAATAACAATACTATCTTTTTTCTATCTCTAAGATACAAACTTTTTTCATATTTAAAATGTCTGAGGTCAGAATGTCTCTTGGAGTTGTTGACTTCTCAGCACCATATCACAGTTTAAAGCTACATTTTCCTTGAGTACCTATGATAATGATTCGTCTTACAACTGAAGGCGTCTTAGACTGACAAAATGCCATAGTGTCTGCCAATCACAGAACACATTTTCTAATTTCCCAAGTGTTTCAGTGTCACCCACTAGAATGTAATTTCTGTTGGGACAGGATCCATTTCTATGTCTATTACTATATTTCTATCTATATGGAAATAATAATAATAGGTATTATTATTATATCTATGAAAAAATTATAAGAAACACTAAAGTTTTTTAAGCACTTACTAAAATGCTACGCACTATGTCAAGCCCTTTACGTGTATTTCATTCTAACAACCTAAAATTTGTTACTACTACCATCTCCATTTTACAAATGAAGAAACAAAGGCATAGAGAGGTTAAGGAAATTGTCCTAGGCCCTGTTCACTGTTTTATCCCCAACATAAAGCCTGCTGCAGAATGAGCATTCAATCAATATTTACAGAACAAGTGAATGAATGAATGCCTGCAAAGGAATCTAACAATAGCTCAGTTAGACAAACAGGGTCATTACTAAAGTAAGTCACAGAGAAAATGCACAATAAATACAAGTTTGAAAGGTTAGTTAACTACTTACACCTGGAATCCTGGAATCTATGGTATGGTAGTCGAGTCGAAAAGTGGCTCAGAGTATATCTGCTCTGCCCAGGCAATCAATGTCATCTAATGAGGAAGATTCAGGATCCCCTAACTAGATGGAATGTCTCAGACAGAGGAATTTCTTCTAGGCATCTCCCAGTTAGTCAGTGGCCATTGCCTCCATCAGAGGAGACTGGGCTAAGAGAATATAGTATATGGGGACTCACTTCTGAGGACCAGACTGCTGCCTCAGATAAGGCTGACTGATGATTTACTGCCCAGCTTGTTCTCTCCTCTCCACTACAACCTTGAAAAGGGTAAATTTTTAAGCTAGCTGGGAGGTGAGGCAGAGTAGTGGGGCCAACTGCCAAATGTAAAGTATCCTACCTTGCATTAATGCAGGGGCATTTCTGTGAGTTTTTTCTTTACCTATAAAACACTTAGAACAGTTTCTAGTACATAATATGCACTAAATGAATACTAGCTAATATCATTATTAGCCCTTTCCTACCTCAGTGCTTTACTGCTGGACATAATACCTATTTTCCAAAGTACTCTGCTACCTTAACAGCATTTTCAATTTTCCCAAATCTTATACAGATCACTAAAACACTTTGTAAAAGGAATCTTATAACATTTCCTCCAACTCACAGTATGAATTCAGAACATCCATAATTTAAATGGGCATACAGAAAAAGGCATCAGGCTTATTTATTTTTCAAGTCTCAAAGAAACTGAAATGGGACAGGGAGGAGGAGAAACTAGTGGTTGTCATTAGATACCTACATAAGCATGAAAAGTCTCTCATTCTACAAGCACAAATATTTCTAAAGCTAAGCAAACAATATACCTATGCTCTGTTTACAATGTGCTTGCTGGCGGCAAATCTCAGTTTCATAGCTAACTTGAGTAACTTCAAATAGTCAAAATAATTGATTTACCAAACAGGATAATAAGGACTAGCATATATCATCAATTCTCTGCTCAATTTGTTAAACATCTTAAGTTTAGAAATTAAAATCTTGATAAGAAGAAGTTTTTCATGCACTATCATTTCTGAACTAGTCATATGGGTTTGATTTGAATGTTATCACAGGAAACATAAAACTGTTGAACAAATGAAAGCAATAACTATTCTATATCACAATATTATGTAGAAATGCCTCCTAGTTTATGGAATTTTTAATTTTTCTATGTTTTCTATTTCTCTAACAATGCATAAAATTGGTTTAGTACCTTAGGAATTTTATACCGTTATCTATCAATAGCTGTTTATTTTAAAGTTCTAGAACCTGTACAATTCAAATAGCTGAAGAACAAAAACATACATGTGTAGGCTTTGTATGTTTTAGTTTTTAGGTGCCAGCATTCTACTTAGATAAAACAATCACTTTCTAGGTAATGCTAGCCCATCACAAAATTTAGAAACAAAGAAAAGAAAACAGGATAGCATTCTTTGAGATTCTTATGGCTATAAAACACAATCTATAGAAGACTTAGTGCACTAAAGGTACAACCAAAAATCTCTACAGTGGACCATTAGCATTATGTTTACTTATCAGCCTCATTGCTGCTTTCTAAAATGTCAACAAATGTGACCAAAAATTTTTCTATACAAAGGAAACAGCATTGAATTTATTTGAATTTAGCTTGAACAAGCCACTGAGGGAGGGAGGTATAAATATACAACATGATGAAGACTAGTAGGGGAAATTACATCTGGAGGCTGTAAATCATTAGCATCTCTTAATATATTTGCACCCAATTCCTACTGGGCCAAACTGCCTGCAAAAACAGGATTTTTCTATCAAATGCCTTGTCTGGTTTCTCACACCACTATATTTCAAAAGCATTTTATGAGAACTCTGCTACATACTCTACCTCCCATCCGGTTCATATTTAAACAATGTATCCTACCCTATTCCTTTTTTAGGCTCCAAAAAGGTCTGTGATGTCACAAATATGTGGCAGGTCATGCTACTTCAGCAAACTTCTCAGGCTTCTTTTTCTTCTCTTGTAGTTAAAGGTGAACTTGAGCTATTTGTAACCTTTTGTCGTGTCTCATCTCAGAAGTTATAAAAGAATTCAAGTACTTCAACTCATAAAATAAAAAGACTGGTCGGTATTGCAGGATATTGAATGGGTAGAGTGAAGAGTAGGACAGACTACCTCTTATAATAGTCTCCTAATGACAGTTTATACTCATCTCATGAGGCAGCTCTCCTCAGGAAGGAAGAGAGCACCAATGCCTCTTATAGACTTTAATATTGGGGACCTACAAGGTGCCTTCTACCATCACTGTAATTATCATCAGCAGAACTTTTCTAATAAATATATACATCAGGAAGCTATGCACAAAGCACACACATTAACATTCTCTACATGAAGTACTTACAGCACATAATCCTTAAAAGGACCTGTAAACATTTGTAGAGGAAAAAAATCATACTTGCAAATAGTGCACGTGCATGCATGCACCTATACATACACACACATACACGTACATACATCTGTATACATATATACACGTTATTTGAAATGATATAAATAATCTTTATTGCTTGAGATTCAGGAATAAAACTATTAACACTAATTTTTATTCTATTGTAACTAGATTTTAGGAAACATGATCTAATCTAGAGAGTATTAAAATCTTTTATTATAATTGGTTTTACTGTATTGTATAATTATTTTTAATGGAGTGTTGCTTATAGTTTTTATCATACATTTATAACAACCAAAATTCTGATAGGCAGTGCTGG